GTCCCCCAGATAGCATCGTTCCATGCAAACCCCCGAACCACATTTCGCCTGGCAAACCCCCAAATAGCATCGGTCCATGCAAACCCCCGAACCACATTGCGCCAGGTAACCCCTCAAATAGCATAGGTCCAGGCAAAGCCCCCAAACCAAATTATACCAGAGAAGGTGGTGACGGTGAAGATTCGACGTGGAGAAGGTGATGGCGACGGCAAAACGTCGACGGTAAGAAGAAGATGGTGACGGTGAAGATTCGACGTGGAGAAGGTGATGGCGACGGCAAAACGTCGGCGGTAAGAAGAAGGTGGTGACGGTGAAGATTCGACGGGATCAAGGTGATGGCTACGGCAAAACGTCGATGGTAAGAAGAAGGTGGTGACGGTGAAGATTCGACGTGGAGAAGGTGATGGCGACGGCAAAACGTCGACGGTAAGAAGGTGGTGACGGTGAAGATTCGACGTGGAGAAGGTGACGGCGACGGCAAAACGTCGGCGGTAAGAAGAAGGTGGTGACGGTGAAGATTCGACGTGGAGAAGGTGACGGCGACGGCAAAACGTCGGCGATAAGAAGAAGGTGGTGACGGTGAAGATTCGACGTGGAGAAGGTGATGGCGACGGCAAAACGTCGACGGTAAGAAGAAGGTGGTGACGGTGAAGATTCGACGGAATGAAGGTGATGGCGACGGCAAAAAGTCGACGGTAAGAAGGTGGTGGTGACGGTGAAGATTCGACGTGGAGAAGGTGATGGCGACGGCAAAACGTCGACGGTAAGAAGAAGGTGGTGACGGTGAAGATTCGACCGGAACAATACAGTTGCAAAGCCGCCTCATGCAAAACTGAACGGATACATGTTTGACGCAAAAATGTGCACACAAACATACATACACCTCATACACACACTTGCACACTACTCAACACACATGCATACTACAGAACGCACAATAGAACAAACACAGGAAGCGCATCACAACACTGGCATACCGCAGAGTGCAAAATCCTTTCTCTCCGCACGGTTAACTAAGGAAATAATTCAACCTAAACCATATCATGATGCCAGGCCATGCCCCCCAATCACATCATGCCAGGCCATGCCCCCCAAATCACATCATGCCAGGCCATGCCCCCCAATCACATCATGCCGGGCCATGCCCCCCAAATCACATCATGCCAGGCCATGCCCCCCAATCACATCATGCCAGGCCATGCCCCCCAAATCACATCATGCCAGGCCATGCCCCCCAATCACATCATGCCAGGCCATGCCCCCCAAATCACATCATGCCAGGCCATGCCCCCCAAATCGCATCATGCCAGGCCATGCCCCCCAAATCACATCATGCCAGGCCATGCCCCCCAAATCGCATCATGCCGGGCCATGCCCCCCAAATCACATTATGCCAGGCCATGTCCCCCAAATCACATCATGCCAGGCCATGCCCCCCCAATCACATCATGCCAGGCCATGCCCCCCAATCACATCATGCCAGGCCATGCCCCCCAAATCACATCATGCCAGGCCATGCCCCCCAAATCACATCATGCCAGGCCATGTCCCCCAATTTTGCATGGGCCCATTACTGGAAGTTCAGCTGCGCAAGTCCTCGTGCTGCATTGATTCCATTTGACCATCCAACCGAAACCGTTGGTTATTATGAACGTTGACCACTCGATCGTTTACAGAACTGCTGTATTCGCCATTTATTGATATTATATTATTAACCGTTATATGGTCGTTATGGCCGTTTATTGTACGACACCATTCGTTCGGTCATTGCTCGTAGTTGGCGCTGCATGCAGCCAACAAGTTATTAAGCCTTGGAATGGCGGCAACTGATGATGATGATGATGATGATGATGACGATGACGATGATGATGATGATCATGATGATGATGCGTCTATATGCCGCCGCCAACGTTGCCGCCGCCGCTAGCCAACTGGCCAGCAGCGGCGGCGCCCGGCTGGGTGCAGCTGGGTGCGGAGGAATTGCACCCAGCAGTGCACCTGAAGGAAAAGGGACAAGGCGGGGGAAGGGCGCGGGAGGCCAAAATATGGTTAGCAGTACGACACAACTAACACATACATAATTAGGTGACAGTTGCAAGCAAGGGTACCGCTGCTGGTCCCCACGACGCACACCCCATGCACCAAAACCCCAAGCCCATCCGCACCCACCTCAGCCGGGCCCATCATCAGCAACGCCCGCTCGGTGCCACTGGGGCGCACAGGTTGATGCCCCAGCCGCACCTGAAGAGGAGGTGCG